ATACAGGATATAGTTCTTACATACAATTTGAGTTAGTTTTTATACCCGCTACAAATATTAGTTCTTAACATTAGGGAATTCTAGTAATGAATATGCATTAGAATAACTATTTTTTTGGAAACGGGTTTCCGATATTATGTTTTGGACTTATGCGCTGGAAGCAATCTGCCGAAAGTCAAGGCTAATAAGTGTTTTGTTATGGATTAAATATTCTAAAAAGTTCGTGTTTGGAAAAGGACAGTATATAGAGAATATTAAAACCAAGTATAACAATAAAATGTACAGGGAATATTTAAAACTAGTTTATTATTTAGATAAGTTGTATTTTTTTTCGCCATAAAACATTATAGTCCTAAAGAGTATAGTGTAAAGGTACGAAAGCATCTCTGATATCAAAAAGTATCTATTTCTCAATTATTTTGTATATATTTTTATTACATTTTTTTTTAAAAATGTCATATCATATTAAAAATATATTAATAAATAAAAAACAAATATAAAAATATACATAAAACAATAAATATTTAGCTTTGAATAGTATTATATTTAATAAATTATATTTAAATGTACAAATTTCGAACAAAAAGAGTATGCAATATTCGGCATATTACATTTTTATTTTCGATAAATCTTTTTCTTTTTTTTTTGTTTTTTGCCTTTGGCTGTCGCTAGAATATCTCATGCATTATGCAGGTCGATCTCCTGGCGTCATTGTCGCTCTTCTTCTTGCTTTATGCAATTGCATTTTACAATTGGAGCTAAATGTGCGTGTCCGTCCGTCTGTTTGTCTGACTGACTGCCTGTCCGTGCATTTGTTGACCCACTGTTTGCATTGCTTTTCAGTCCATTTATAAGGAAATTCTGCGCGTTAAATTTAGCCGCACAAACTGCATTTCGCCTGTTGACCCTTTTGACGGCATCTATTCTTGGCATGCAAAGTGTGTGTGTGTGTGTGTGTTTGTTTTTGGCCAAACAAATAATTGAAATTGGCATAACGAATTTATCATATAGTGTGCTGCTTAGGCGGGATTCTGCATTGAAGGGGAAGGGAGGGGGGCTTGGTAGAAACAAAAAGTGAAAGTTTGATTTATGAGCACACGCGGACCGCTGGCTTTTGTATCTTTGCTGATGGTTCTTAATGGTTTATAATTAGTTTTGTAAACTCTTGGCTTTTGTTTTGTTATTTTTTTTTTTTTAATTTTAAGGGGCCTGGATTTGTTTTAGCCGCCAGCCGCGACCCGCTGGCCTCGAGCCAATCAATTCTGGAACGGAAATAGAAATTTAAATAGAAAAAAAAGAACACACACACACAAATCTCACTAAATTTCGGTCCTGTGTGTGTCCCCATGCTGTGGGGGTTAATGGGCTCAATTCTGTCCAGCTTGAGGATTGTGCGTGACGCAAGTGTGTGTATATGGCACGTCATTATATGATTGATCTATTAGCTAATTGAGACAATTGTTTGTTTTATTGTACGCTGCTTTTCTTAAGAATTAAAGTTTATCGAATCAAAACGCACAAGTTAACACGCCAGTTTATGGCTTATTTATGGCTTAATAAACATAAATAACATCTATTTATTATATATGTAAGGCGAGATTTGCAGAACTTTGAAAAAAATCAAAAAGATTTTAAAAAGTTTTGACATAGAAAACTTTTTGTAGAGCAAAGATAGAGGGAACGTGTTTTTGACTACATTACATTAGTTTATTAAGACATTTAAAAGATTTGAAATATTTTATTATTTATTAGTATTTAGTTTATGCTTTAATAAATGGGTTAGCTTTATATATTATTATCTATATTCTTATAAAATAATTTAAAAAATATTTAATTCAAAATTAGCTGGAAATGTAATTAAACAAAATTATTAATTAAGCGATTAATTAAGATTAAATGAAATTAATTAAGATTTCAAATTTATTTCCAAAAATAATCTATTAAATTAAGTCATAATTGGCTGTGAATGTTTTTAAGAATAGTGAATTTAGTATAACCAAAACCTTTCAAAAATGAACGATCTAAATTACTCCTTAAATGTATATATTTAGTAAAAAAAATAAGATTGCTTTGTTCCTTGATAAGTTATAAAATAGTATGAATTTTGTTATTTAATTTATATATATACTTTATGAGCCTTATGACCTTATAAAGTATGTATATATATTCTAACAATCGATTGATATAGCAATGTCTGACTGTCTATCCATTTGTCCGGCTGTCTCTTTCTATGCGAACTAAGGGAGTACAAGTAACTTAGGGAGTACATATGTCGGAACCGACCGAATCGGAACACTATATCATATAGTTGAGGGTACGTTCGGTCAAAAATAAAGTTATTGTATGTTTTGGTGAAGATATCTTGATCAAGCTCGGCATTTATTAATTTGACTATGCTCTTTATATATTTGCAAAAATATTGTCAAGATCGTACTTCTATATCATATATCTGTTATAGGAACAATCAGTAGAAAAGTCGGTGCTTGTATGAAAAACTTTTATATGTCAAGATATCGGAAACAATCTGGGAATTTACTTATTAAACTATGCTGCTGATACATTAATAAAATCCTATCAATTTATATATATAGGATTCTTGTATAGGCAAAATCGGTTGACAAATGAGTTTTCGTATGGCAAAATATTTTCAGTAAACTATCACAAATCTTATAAAGTATTCCCAACTTTCTCGTTTTCTTCATAAAAAGATATAAATAAATATTGTATGTCTTGCAGCAACAACAAATTTCTGTTCACTGAGAAATCAGTCTATAAGCAAACAACAACAAAAAATACTCTTTCCTATACACATTTACATCTCTATCCAATATGTAACAGGTCATAACTCATGCAGCAATATCTTCCTGTACAACTGTAATATCGTTTCCCAAACACTTGGAATGCAACAAGCCATAAATTAAATGCCACCTCAGTCGAGCCAAGCAATGCATGTATTTTTAGTTGTTGTTGTTGCATACCTTTTGCTTTTGGCCATAATTTGTTTTATATATAAATTTCAATATTTTTCTAGCCGTGTAATCAGCTTTTAATTTGCACTGATTCGATGTTGGCGGCGACATAAAATGAAATTCAAATGAGCGCAAAACGATTTTTAATTCTCAAATCACATCACGCCCTATAAATGTATAAGATTTGCCTCCAGCCAGCCACGATCTGTGGCTGTGCGTATACATATTTATAGATCTTTCCTATCTATCTAGTTGCTGTCTCATTTATAGCGAAAATCAAATGATTTTTCGCGCTGGCCATAAATTTTCAAATCAAACACTCTTCGTTAGGCGGGGGCGGGGGCAACATTTGTGGATTCCAAAACTTAACCGTGACTAACAATCAGACTCTGACGTCTGTACATTTATAAATATATATAAATATATAGCTCGATCTGATTCTTATCTGCTGCGATTTACGTAAATTTTGCACCAAGTTTTTCGCCAGATTTGTCACAGACAATTCGGCGACATCTTCGTCTCTGGGCGTGGGCGTCTCTTTGAGGGCTGTAAAACAAAGCGATTTTCTATGTTTTCTTTTTATTTGTATTATTATTTTAGCTGCGAAATTAATAATTCTCGCCAAATAAACAATAACAGCAAAAAATGTGGCACATAAAAAGCAAAAAGCAGCATGTTCACATCAAAAGTCGGTTATAAATCATAAACAAAATATAACTAAAAAATACTTTGGTCCATTTTTCAAAAGAGGCCACTTTAACTGGCAAGTGCCTGAGCCCCCCTCCCCCTTCCCCCCAGCACAGAGGTGCGAACGCAATTGCTTTGGACACTGATCCCAGGCACCTGTGCGGGGGCAACAGGTCAAGGTTTAGTTTTGATCAATTGCAATTTGCTCTTTGTTACAAATATTTGAAATTTTTTAAATATTTCTGAGCATTTATCTATCAATAATTTATGAAATACTGTTGTTGATTTTTTTTTTAAATTCTTCAAATGACTTTTTCTTATAAACAAAGCGTCTAATCGCATTTTGGTATTTAATTGGAATGCATCTAGAAAACAGTTCGAAAAAGATTGGATTCTTTGAACTTTGTTTTCCGCCTTCAGGTTATGTGAGGATGGAATGGAAGTGGGATGCGATAGGTTAAGATGATATCATATCGAATTCGATCAGATGAAATGGGTTCAGATATCAAATGGTATGAATAGGCTAGAATAGACTGATATTTGTTACCAAACGAATGGGATAAAATAGCAATAGGTATGATGTGATAGAATGGGATGATAATGGTATGGCATAAGAGAATTTAGTATTTATTTTAGATAGGATCAAATAATTAGTTAAGTCATATAGGATGGAACATAAATTATTCGAACTAACAAAGTTTTTAACTAAAAATGCAAGTTTATTTATTTAAAAAAAAAATATATTATACTAATATTACATTTTTTTCTAACTTAATTTTTATTGTTGCAGTTTTTATATTTCTCGAAAAAAAATTCGTACTATTAAAATAAGTTTTCCACCTACTTAATTATATTCTTAATATTATTTTTTGAGGAAATTATAAAAATTCTTAAATTTAACTTATATTTAAAATAAAACTGAATTTCTTGTATTTCTAACTACCTTGAGAATAATTCTTACTAAGTTTTTAAATAAATTTCAACCTTAATTGTTTTTTCTTTTTGAGGAGTTTTGATTAAGAGTAATTTTTGATTTATTTTTATATAGGAAAGAGAAAACTTATTTAAAATCTAACATTCATTTGAATAAAGACTTAAATTAAATAGCTATATTTTATATAGTCCGAGGAAAACAAATAAAATAATCGTGCTAATTAATTTGTATTAAAAGTTGCAAAGAAATAAATCATATTTTTTTTTTTAGAATAAATATTTTATCATAACTTATTTTTTAATGAACTTTTTTGCAATAAATTAGAAAATTAGAGTAGTTGTACTTAATATTTAATCTCAGTGGCTCTTTAAATATTTAACTAACACAGGTTTTTCCTCAATTTCTTACAGAGAAACGCTCCTTCTCCTTCCGGCTGCGTCGCTCGTTCGGCGATGGCGGCAGCACGAACAGCCGCAACAGCAACAACAACAGCAGCACCTGCACCAATCACAACAACCATAACAACCAGAAGAGATGCAGCACACCTTTAACACCGACCAGCACGAGCACCGGCCGACTGGAGGTGCCTGGTGCCTCGGTGAGCCGCCGTAGCAGCATTTACAGGAAGCCGGACAAGAATGATGGGGGTCAAATCCATTTGATACCCGATGTGGAACTGCCATTGATGACATTCGCCGATCAGTACAATATCGAGAAGACGCTGGCCGAGGGCTGTTTTGCCAAGATTCTGCTGTGCCGGCACAGACCCACAAACACGACCGTGGTCTTGAAGGCTGTGCACGCCGAGCTGACGACCATTAAGGAGTTCCAGAAGGAATTCCATTACAACTACGAGCTATCCCATCATCGTCACATACTCAGCGCCTATGCGGTCGCCTTTCAGACCATGGACTACTTTGTCTTTGCCATGGAGCATGCCCCCTATGGAGATCTCGCTTCGAATATTGGTCCAAACGGTCTGCACGAGACGGCCTGCAAGCTGATTGCGGAGCAGTTGAGCTCTGCTCTGGGTTTTATGCACTCCAAGAATCTGGTGCATCGTGATCTCAAGATCGAGAATGTGCTGGTGTTCACGCCGGACTTTGCGCGCGTAAAGCTGTGCGATTTTGGTGCCACCACCAAGAAGGGTCTGCCCGTGCACAAGGTGAAGCATACGTGGACCAGCTGTGTGCCGCCCGAACAGCTGGAGCTGATCAAGAACGAGCGTTTCCAGTGCTTGCCCATCAGCGATTCCTGGCAGTTTGGCATCCTCTTGTACAACATTCTCACCGGCAATCCGCCCTGGCAGGCCGCCGATTGGGGCAAGGATCAGGCCTACGCAAACTTTATGAAATACGAACAGCGTAAAACGACCAAGGTGCCGGACAATTTCCGTCGATTCTCACCACGTCTTATGCGCTGCTTTCGCAAGTATTTGAGTCACGATGCTGAGGATCGTTGCAAAATCACCGAAGTGAACAAATACATGAAGGATCGCTGGGTCGAGTGCCGCATCTCGGCCTCCAAATCGGCCACGTTAATCTCACCAAATCAGCAGTATCAGGACTCGTGCATCTATCTGAATCAGCGCGAGGGACGCCTCTCCGGCGATGAGAACAAATTGCGCTTCAAACGCATGATGTCCAGCTATGGACTGGATATACCCATAGATCAGACCATGGTGCGACGACGTGTCTGGGATTGGCTATCCACATGTGATGCCAACTTTGATCCCGAGATCGAAAGTCTTCACGCGTTGGATATGGCGCAGTAGCTGCCCCAAGTCTGGTCTGTTCTGGGAATTACGAAATTTTTCAGAGATCTATAAGATAAAAAAAATTTCGAAAAGTAATTTCTCATTGAAATTATATTATTGGGTACGGAATACCCCATAATACTTATAGACGAATTTTTCTGCTATGCACATATATGTATGTAACTACATAAGTAGTTGAAATTTTGTAACAAATTAACCCCAAGAGGTACTCAGAAAGAAATATGTATATTATGAAATTTGTAAATCCACTTAGAGCAAAACACGTTAATGGACTTAACTTTCCACTAGTGTTACCTTTCTAGTCTTCCGCTACGATGGTTTTTTATTAAATACATATATCTATCTATCTATATATATATATATCCATCTATATGTATATGTAGTTTTATATATATATATATATTTAAACTATTTATTGTGTGATGTACGCGTTATTTACTTTATACATAGACGTCATAAACGATACCAACTAATGCAATTATGTAGAATTAAATGTTTAGTTATACGAAAGGATATAAACTATATGTATGACCAATTATTATCTAAGTGTTGTCTTATCTATATATATTATACATTGAATAGAGTACATAGCCCTATGTCTTAAACTTATACCGAGTATATATTTACGTTTATGCCGACACCTGTATATGTTAGACTTTATTTATATCTATGTGTACTTTTTAGCCTACTCTACGATCTTGTATATAATCTTACCATATTATACTACCTATATATCTATATATGTATAAATATATTTATATATATGATCTATGTACACCAAATGCAAACAAATATAGAAACTTCAACATGCAAAATATGTTAAAAGGTTCTTCAATTAATTAATTCCATTTATTTTATGCATTTTGACAAACATAAAGTAATATAATATTGACTTTATATTTAATCAGTTATCTCTTTTGATTTATTTAGTTTATTTTTGTTTCTATTTAAACTATTTTTCAGTTCCTTTTCAAACTTGGTGCACAGAATTTCAATGCCTAAAACTGTTCGATTGGAAATGCAATAAAAATCATCCAAAGGTAAGTCTTGCGCATATTTGATATAATCTCAATTTTCATATTATTTGATGGCAAATACGATCAACTAGTCAGATATCATAACATTTAATAAAGTAAATGTTTTAAATTTTAAGCTAAAGGAAGAAGATAACGGAAAAAAGATAAGCTAGTTCTGCGCATGGTATAGGAAATATATAAATATATGTATACTAGAGTGGGGATTTCTAGTTCAATTTGCTGAATAAGTTAACTCGTTCATTGGCCGTGAACTATTCGCTAAGTTCAGTTATGCAGTCAAATCAAAATTGAAATTCAATCCCAATATCTTTTATGTTTATTAAGAACTTAACATCTCAAAAGAATGTATCGTTCATGACCGACTGAACGAGTACAGAATACATCGTTCATGACCCACTGAATAGCTGAACGAGTGAACTAAATGACAGATTTGGTTCACTAAACACTGAATAAGTTCAGTTATTCATTTAAATGATCCGTTCAACCGAACTTGGTCTGAACTAAACGACACAACTTTAATATATACCAAATGTTTAGTCTCTAGTTTTTGTTAATATCGAAATTCTCGCCGAACTAAGTTGACTCGATGTCTTGAGCAAAAACATATATCGCTATATATAAAACTGTTTGTCCTGACTGACTGATTGACTGAATGTGTTAGAGATAATATATATGTAAATATATATATGTATATCAGCTAAAATCGTAAGCTCTTTAAGTCTTAAAACTCTCTGTAAATAGCAGCGACATGCAACAATTGCCCTGAAAGTTAAGTCTTTTAAACTAATAACAATTACAACAATATAGACAATAATTGTTTGCCTACATATCGTATATATTTGAGAATATATATATATATATATATATATATCTGTCTGCCCACGATATTAGTCGTAAAAGCGAAATTTCTAAACATTTGCCCAACCATCATAAAAATGTGCGCAAAAACGAGCCGTTTTGTTGTTAAATGTGGCACATTGTTTAAAAACAAAAAAAAACAACAAAAAAAAAAAAAGCGCGTGGAGCGGGGAACAGGAGCAAAAACTAACAATAAATATTTATTATTAAATGCATTAAAAATTGTTGCTCACATTTTTAATTATCTATTATTGTTCAGTTGTCTGCCAGGGGCCATGCCATATAGCCAAAGTTTATGGATATTTTTCGTTTTTGGCCTTTTTTTGTTTTTGCCAATAGTTTTCAAGGTTGGGCAGCTGATGTTTTGGGTCTAATGTCAGCCGCGGTCAGGGCTGTATAGTTTTTGCGGCCAAAATAATGGCTAGACAATTTATGAATGAATTTCTTGTTGTTTCAATTGTTGTTTTAGTTGTTGTTTTAGTTGTTGTTTAAGTTGTTGTTGTTCGAGTTGTTTCTCGCGGCTTTGTTTGCGCTGCTCTGTGGACCTGCACAGGATGTGACGCTGTCGTAAATCTGTATCTAATAAACAGAAACGAAGGTTGATTAAACAAAAGGTGAACTTGCCTGTTCGATTGCTTCTTCCTCATTTTATTGTTCTTCTTGCACTTGGTTTAATTTATTTTTAAATTTGTTAACCTTTATTGACTTAACTTTTTCTCCTTTTACCTTTGCTTTTTTTCAAATTGTACTCGCAATACAATTTTCAAGCAAATCAAATAAAGTGTTGCCAGCTGATTGATTGATTGATTGACTGATTGGTTGATTGCTCGCTTGTTCATTTACCTGTAATTAAATTTTGGGTTCAGCGTGCGACACGTGCCTGCTTCTCTTTCGTGTTTTTGTTTGTTTATTTTGTTGTACAAATAAAAAAGTAAAGAAACAATTGATGACGACAAAATACCCTGTTATGTATCGCCATGCATGTGTATTCATTCGTAGCTGTTGTTCTCATCAAATGAAATTTAATATTTTCAAAAACTTGAAAAGACATTTTAATATGTTAATTCGAAGCGTGCAAAGTACATTATTATATTTTCGATTAAAAAGCGGAACAGCTGACAAAAATATAAAAAAAGATGCAGATATAATCTTTACTATAGTTAATCCATATAAATTTCACAAAATTTGGTTTTAATGTCAAAGACATATTGAAAAAGGGACTTTCAGGGCAAAGTACGGCATGTTTCTTTTTTGAGTGTAAATAGTCCCTCCATCAACTGATAATACCCTAGTTTACCCATTGTTTCTACGGCTACAGGGTGTAGGCACTCAACAGTAGACATCTTTTATGATTTGCTTTTGGATACTTTTCGCATTTTTATACCTCGGCGCGCATGTTAACACTTAACGCAGTTTTATGTGAGAAGTCAGCTGAAATAAATATTAAAATTAATGCGTTTTATATTTAAACAGTTGAGCTGACGCGTGCCGACGCGTCTAGTTGTGGCTGTTGCGCCCTTTGCAGTCCAGCTGAAAGTCATCTGATCTTTGGAATCTCGATAAATATACAAATTGGCCAATTTAATTGGTTTCTATGGGTGTAAAACTGTACGAAATGCAAAAACATGTTTTGTGCCGCGCGCATAAATTAAATCAAATCGCACAAAAATAGGTTTTTACGAGTCAACTTTTATCCAACGAGTCGCGTCGCCTATGCGAATTTTCACGAGTTTTTCACGTACGCCCAACTCTTGTTGTTGTTGTTGTTCGCGCGTAATTTATGAGCCGCATTTGCCATTTCGCATTTTCCATCTTGCGTCCGCCCGAGTGTCCCAATTGGCGGCACTTATTTTAATGTTAATGCCAGCCCCGAAAAGTATGCAACAATTCGGAAAGATCTTTTCGATTCGGGGAAATGGAAGAACCGCTCTTGAGATACTTTCAAGAAACTTGACTGCGTCTTTCTTTCACTTTTTTCTTATCGATTCAGACATCTGTATATCTTATATATATCATATATGTGTCAGGTATACCCTGTACTATTCTAAAATATACAGGGTAAGATGTAGGTAGCCCTGTCTATGCACTTATACTAATTTAAAAAGGTTAACTGCAGACGCCTATCTAAGTTGTTCAGATTTTGATTTTATAAATCATTTGAAAAAGTGCTCGACTGCGATATACCCTGTACAATATCTACATCCCTGTTTTTGTTCATGAAAACTCTTCTTATATATGTAAATAATAATAATGTAAAAGTACGATATGAAATCTGCCTAATAGAAATTATTAACTCGTGAAATTATTAACTAAATAATAGTAAATGTTTCTCTTTGAATCTTCCGATGACTGCCTTATCAAGAGACATATTTTAAATCTATCCTTGTTTAATTATTATATAATATTATATAATATAATATTATATTATAATTATTTAATAATTGTTATCGAGATTAAATGTAATATTTATGTATAGCGGATCGAGGCATTATTGAGCTTTTAATGGATGCTTTATAGTTGTTCTTAAATCCTTTTTTGATATGCCGAAATATGCTGTTCCTGCCATATAAATTACAATCTCTAGAGAATTGCCTTTCATAGCGTTGCCCAAAGAATTTCTAATTCTGTTTCTCCAGATGCTGCCGCGAATGTTGTTAAAACAAATAAACGCTTACCTTTTCAAAATATTCCATATTTTCATATTTTTTTTTCTATTTTTTCTTAAATCAACATTTGAATATTTTTGGAGGCGCAGCCACTTTGATTTCTATAAATTGGTTTATTTTGGCATCGTAAACGGCATCTGGCCGAAAATATTTGGAATATATTTAAAACACGCTTAGCGCAAAAAAAAAAATGCATTCATTAATAAATTGTTGCACACACAAAAGCTTGTTTATTGGATGCCATTAATGCCACGTGTCTGTCTGTCTGTCCATATAAAGTCTATGGTTTGTGTCTCGGCTGATGTGCAAAACAAAAATCATTTCAAATTGCTTACTAGCTAAACAAATAGATATGTGGGTGTGTACGAACGGGGGCGGAGGCGTGTGAATGTCTAAAAAGCTGTCTAAAATTTACATAAACATATATGTGTATGTAAGTGTGTATGCTCTATATGTAAATGTATATATAAAAATGTCTATATAAAAATGTATGCGATAAATCATAAAGAATTGCATGATATGAAAAAAAGTGCAACACTCAAAGAGCGACGTCCAAGTTGTTCAGGAAGAGTCATATCCAGCCGGGTTCAGCTATATATATATATATAGATACGATCGCACTCAGGCCGATTTCAGTGGTATATGTTGTTTGATTACCTATAGAGAAAGAGGCGAGAGGTAAACAATTGTATTTGCTATTTTCCTTGTTTACAATTAAATACTAATAAAGGCGAAAGAAAAAAAATCAATTAAGACGCGTGTGAAATA